AACTGGAAGTGGCATAAATAAAGATGTTGAACTTGCCCTTAGGAGTGACAAAGATGAATAAGATTTAGAATTAGATCATCAGATGTACAGCACAGGTTGAAGGACTGGGAGATAAAATTAGAGTCATCCTGTGATGGTCTGGACATATCCAGAGGAGGGACAGTGAGTAAATGGGTATAAGGGTGATAGAAATGTAGCTGCCAGGGAAAAGACAAAGAGGGAGATATGTGAATGTATTTAAAGAGGTCATGGAGATAGTTGGAGAAAGGTCAGAGGATGCAGAGTGTGAGCTAGAGAAGGGTGGCTCTCTGTGCCACACAGGAAAGAAGAATATATTTGTTTGCCCATGTTTAATCTTACAAGAGGAACAGCATTGAAATCCATCATACAGGATGCTGCATCATGCCCAGATAACAAGGTCTGCCCACAGGCAGTATAAAGAAGTGTATTTTTACAATGGTACAAAGGTGAGGTCAAGACAACTTCACTTTCCAGCTTAGGACCTTGAGTTTATCAGGTGAAAGGCTCCATGCTTCTGCAAGGTCCATTTTGCAAAGACAAAACAACTCAACACACATGCACACATGATTCTATAACATTTGACATTAGTAAATTGAAAAACATCCATGACCTTTATATCCCCCTACACAACCACCAATGACAAAAACAAAAAGGTGTCTTTCAAGATCCCCTAAACAACAAAAATAGGAGGTGGCAAGTCAGCCACAACCCTCTGAATGTGAAATATCAAACATGGGTAGAGTTATCGAGTGGTCTCCTCTTTGAAATGCCACCTTATCGTGGTGGAGCAGTTTGTGCACCTGAATGATCCTAGGAGCTATTCTGCCGGGGGCCATACGAGTCGGGTGCATGACTAAAAGGGGAGTGGCAAAAGGTGGGGGCCTTGGTGCTCTGACCCATGATTGCAAAAGCCTGCTCTTGGGAAAAGGAACATAACGTCTTTGGTGGGGAAGGAACCTGAGTTTGTGCTTGAGGTTGAGAGGTACCAACTAGATATAGCTAGTCTCACCACGATACATGGCAAGGGCTCTGGAACCAATCTCCTGGAGAGGGGCTGGACCTTACTCCACTCTAGAGTTGCCCAAGGTGAGAGCTGTTGAGCTGGTGTGGGTCTACTCTTAGCAACCTACATTGCCTGTTGGATGGAGTTTTCCTCACTAGATGAGAGGGTAGTTTTCTTACACCTTCGGTTGGAGGAACAGGCTCTGACCATTGATTCTGCCTATGCATCAAATGTCAGTTCATACTGTAGTATCTGACCTTGATGTAGTCCATAGCATGATGCTGGAATGTGTGTCAGCTGGGGATTTCTTTATTCTGCTGGGGGACTTCAATGCCCATGTGGGTAATAACAGGACGAGCCTTATTATTCCCAATCATGCCCTTCCGGGTCATGATTGGCAAATGGCAAATTGTGCCAAATGGCAGTGGTGGTATGACCTAGAGGGGCCTGATTGGGAAGAACAGCTTCTCTGATCTGAACCTGAGCAGTGTTTTGTTGTTGAAATTATGTGATTGTCATGGTTAGTCCATCACGAATGTTTGAACAAAACGGTGTCCATAAGTGCACTTGACACGAGGACACTCTAGATTGTACAAGTAGATCAACGATTGACTTTGTAGTCATGTTATCTGATTTATGGCCATTTGTTTTGGATACTCAGGTGAACAGAGGAGCTTATATGTCAACTGATCACCTCCTGGTAGTGAGTTGGATCAGATGACAGGTGAAGATGCCGGACCGACCTGGTAGACCCAAATGTGTAGTGATAGTCTGCTAAGAATGCCTGGCAGAAGAACCCATTAGACCGATATTCAACTCACACCTCTGGGAGATCTTTAATATCATCTTAGCTTAGGTGGGGTTACATTGAGTCCGAGTGGGCACTGTTCCACACCTTAGTTGTTGAGGTGGATGCCTTGAGCTCTGGCCACAAGGTTGTCAGTGCTTTTCTCGGTGGCTATCCATGACTCAGAAAGAGTCTTATTGAGGCTTGTTGACTGATGAGACTCCAGAGGCATTAGAATATTACTGGAGGGCCAAGCAGGCTGCAGCCTTGTCTGTTGCTGAGGCAAAAGCTTGGATGTGGAATGTATTTGGCAATGCTTTGGATTGTCTATTCATTGACTCTGAGGAGATTCTGGTAAACCATCAGGTGATTGAAGAGAGGAAAGCAGTGCTTTATTAACACTGTGTTCAGTAAAGGTGAAATTTTATTGACCTCAATGAGTGATGTTGTCAGGAGGTGGAAGGAATACTTCTCAGACCTTCTCAATCCCACTGATACATCTTCCATGAAGGAAGCTTAGTCGGGGGATTTGGGGGATGGTCTGTCCATAACCAAGACTGAGATTACCAAGATAGTTAAAAAGTTCTGTGGTAACAAAGCTCTGAGGGTGGATGAGATTCACCCTGATTTATTTTAGGCTTTGGATGTTGTAAAGCTGTTTTGAATGACACACCTTTGCAGCATTGCGTGGGCATCGGGGCAATGCCACTGGATTGGCAAACTGGGGTAGTGTTTCCCTTATTCAAAAAGGAAGCCCTGAGGGTCTACTCCAATTATAGGGACATCACTCTCCTTAGCCACCCTGATAAGGTCTGTTCAGGGATACTGGAGAAATGAGTCCTATTGTTGGTCGAACTTCAGATCCTGGAGGAACAATGGGAGTTCCGTTCTAGTCTTTGAACATTGGACCAGCTCTTTACCCTCACTAGGGTCCTTGACGGGTTATGGGAGTTCGTGCATGCAGTCTGCATGTGTTCTGTGAACTTGGAAAAGGTGTTTGACCATCTTCTACCCTGTGGGGAGGGGGGGGGGGTACTCCATGAGTTTGAGAATGAGGGCCCTGTGCTCTGGGCTGTTTGGTCCCTATACAAGTGGCGCAAGAGTTTGGTTTGCATTGCCGGTGTAAGTCGGACCCATTTATGGTGGGAGTTAGACTTTGCCAGGGCTGCCCATTGTCACCAATTTTGTTCATAACTTTTATGGACATAATTTTTCATTGCAGCCAAGGGCCAATGGGTGGAGCGTGTCTGGTTTGATGGCCTCAGGATTTCTTCTCTGCTATTTGCAGTTGATGTGGTCCTGTTGACATCACCGTACCATGATCTTTGGCACTCCCTGGAACCATTTTCAGCCAAGTGTGATGAGGTGGAGATGAGAATCAGCACCTTGAAATTTGAGGCCATGTTCCTCAGTTGGAAAAAGGTGGATTGCTCTCTTTGGATTGAGGGTGAGGTTCTGAGACAAGTGGAGGTGTTTAAGTATCCTGGGGATTTGTTCAGGAGTGAGGGACAAATGGAGCATAAGATTGATAGACAGACTGGTGAATCATCTGCTGTATTGTGGACTTAGTGCCAGTCTATTTTGGTGAAGAGGGAACTGAGCTGTAAGGTAACGCTATCTATTTATCAGTCAGTCTACATTCCTACCCTCACCTGTGGCCACAAACTCTTGGTAGTGACAGAAAGAACAAGATCTAAGATACAGACCATTGAAAATATTTTCCTCTAAGTATAGCTGGACTCTCCCTTAGAGATAGGGTGGGAAGTTCAGTTATCAAGGAGAGAATGGAATAGAACCACTGCTCCTCCACATTGATATGAGCCAGTTGAAGTGGTTCGGGCAGCTGCTAAGGATAATCCCTGGGCACATCCATAGGGATGTGCTTCAGACGTACAACTGGGAGGAGACACCAGGCGAAACACAGGACACGCTGGTCAGACTCCTGGTTGGCCTGGGAATGCCTTGGAGTTCTCCCAGAAGAGCTGGAAAAGGTGGCTATGGAAAGAGATGTCTGTCCATCCCTCCTCAAGCTGCTGTCCCCACGACCCAACTTTGGAACAAATGGACGATAATGGATGGATGCTTGAAAATTTCTTACTTGTCAGTTGTGCACTGTCTATATCAAGCTTTGGTTGTGTTAGTCCCATTAATTGTTCATATCCAGTCATCCAACCATAGTCCTAGAATGAAACCAAGAATGGAGCCAGCTTATCTGTCTGCTGGTCCATATACAAATTTAATGTCCCATCCGCCTCCATGTAAGCAAAAACTTTGATGGTTGGATGCTAGTTGATTTATATAGTTCTTACTTACAAAAATGTATTTTCTATATATACTTAGCAATGACTAATTAGTGTAATAGATCATTTTTTTAAATATTAAAAAAAGATTGTTTCATTGTGATTATTTAAGAGTAATTGAGACTTGAAAAACTGTCAAAACATTTTAACTCAGCTCTGCTGGCTTCATTTTTCAATGGCGAGAGTAGGCAATAGGTGTTTTTTTCTGGAATACTATCCACCCAATTAGTGACAAAGAATGTGTGACATTGGAAATAAAAATACACTGAAAATTCTAACATTGATTTATTTTGATTCAAATATAGGTTTAAGTAAAACAGTCAAGTTAGTTATATTTTCTAATTTTACGTAAGAGAAAAAAAAATATGAATTGAACAAACAATTTACTGTAATTTGTCTTAGTTCAAAAAACTATTTTTTTTTTAATGTAGTAAACAAACATTCTGGATAATCTGAAGGAGAATAAAAAGGAAAAAAAAAAATCTAAAAGCATTTTTTTAATGCTTCAGAGAAAAAAAAAAGTAAAATACTGTGAAGCACATAGTAAATGAAAATCTAAATTATGTGTTCCCATATTTGTTTGTTAGTCATTGTTTAAAAATGTTTTTCTTTAAATCATTTATTCAAAATGTTGGAAATGGATAATCATCACAGTTTTAATTTTTACCTTAGAAACTGTATCATTATCAATCATGTTAAAACATTTATTCAAAGAAGCACTCCTTGAACAAGAAAAAAAAACTGCAGAAGAGCAAGACCAAGCAATGTTGGCTCTAAACAATATTATAAATTAGGAATAAAAATACAAAATAAAAAAAAATATATATATGAACAGCAGTTTAGTTTCCATCATTGCACTCTTGCTACTTTATTAAATACATTGAGAATTTTACATTTGATTTTTGTTCAATAAATATCTTTTGGAGTTCTTCTTGGGCTGAAATATGATCATGAAACACTTTGGAGCAAATATACATAGTATGAGTCCAAAACTGGAGGCCAGAATAGCAAATATCTCTACTGCCACTGTAAATTTTCCAGGAGAGCTGACGTATGCTGGGATGAAGGTGATCCACACTGCACAGAAGATCAGCATGCTGAAGGTTATCATCTTGGCTTCATTAAAATTATCAGGTAGTTTTCGAGCTAGAACAGCTAACACAAAGCAAAAAACAGCTAGCAGACCAATGTACCCGAGCACAGCCCAGAAACCAACAGCAGAGCCTAATGCACATTCCAGGATGATCTTCTCCTTGTATGTTGTCAGATTTTTTACTGGAAAAGGAGGACTGAGAATCAACCAAACGGCACATATTAAAACCTGAATTAATGTGAGAGACACAACAGTCATTCTTTGCTGTGGAGGCCCAAACCATTTCATGACATTACTACCTGGAAGTGTAGCTTTAAAGGCCATTAAAACCACTACAGTTTTCCCAAGAACACAGGAGATACAGAGAACAAATATGATACCAAACGCTGTGTGTCGCAGCATGCAGGACCACTCAGAGGGAGCTCCAATGAAAGTTAATGAACATAAAAAACACAGAGTCAGAGAGAAGAGCAGCAAGAAGCTCAGCTCTGAGTTGTTGGCTCTGACAATTGGAGTTGTTCTGTGATTAAAGAAAATAGCTGCTGTGATCATGGCCAGACAAGCCCCCAAAACAGAGAAAGCACTCAAGGTGATTGACAGAACATCATCAAATGACAGAAACTCCATAGATTTTGAAAGACACGCATTTCTTTTTGCATTCGGCCAGAATTCTCTCTGACAAGGGAAGCAATCATGAGAATCTGAAAAAAATAAAAAACTTGTTGTCAATGCTCTAATATGTACATTGCATAACTGCATTAAATCAATATAAAGAGGAATAGAAAATGTATTTGTTTTACCTGTTGTATTACTGATCTCTCCTTCAGGACATGGTATACAATCATAGCAGCAGATGGGTTTTCCTTTCTGCAACACTTTCCGAGTTCCTGAAGGACAACTCGCTGAGCACACTGACACTGGAACCTGTCACTCAGTCACACACAAAGTAACAAACTTTTTTAAAGTTACTATATCAATGTTTGTAAAATATAACCCATAAGTTCTGTACCTGGGTCCTACCCTCCATCCAGGTTATGTTCATGTTTATACGAAACTCCTGGCCTATTGGCAGTGATGCATCGTAGTATCCTACTGTTAACATCTTAATACCTCCACTCTCACTCTTCTGCCAGTTGACCAGCTCATAAAAAGCCACTGGATCACCATTAGCATCAAATGACACTGGATAACCATTTTGAGAAAAGTTTACTTTTTTTAATTCTGTAAAAACCTGTGAGGTATAATAATGTAGAGGGAAATAAATTTGGAAACATAAGAAATAAATCACATTAAATGACCTTCAGGGAAGTCAATAAAAATAATAATAGTAAAACATTTATTTTCCTTTACCTGTTTAGGCAGCAGTTTGATGTATTTATAACACTGAGTGGTGAGATTTGTTTCCTGACACAATGCATTGTGAATCGCATGAGCTATTGCATAAACAGCCTTGTACACCATGTTAGTGACTCTTAATGGTGACGGTTCAGTGTAGGGATTTTTAAGCAACATTATGTCTTCAGTTCCATCACACAGTCTCTTGTCTGGATCAGGATCTGTAGTCACATATAGACAAAAGCAGACAAATCACAGTCCTTACTTAGATTTCATATACTTGGGTCTATTGGGAGGTACATGGTAGACAAATTACTATAGCTATAATTCATTATTAAATAACAAAACCAAAATTTGTAGTTCTTGAATTACATTCAGGATGTTTGAACTTCACCAGAGCCATTAAAAGTCTGTTAGAATAAATGCCAAACATTTTATTTGCGTCTGTGTTTAGTTTAAAATAACGAGATTATTTATTTAAGGGATTTTAAACATTTGACAAGGCCATTAGAAAACTATAAGTAAATATGTTCTTGTTTTTATTTTAACCTTGTTTTGTGTGGGACTTTGATTTTATTGTTTTAACAACTTTCTTGTTATTGCTTTTATTGTTTTACATTGTCGTCTGTACTCTACATGTTGTCTGTCATGTCTATCTTGAAAACGAGTCATTGGGACTCAATGAGACTACCTGTATAAATAGAGTTTAAATAAAAAGAGAGCAATTTCAAATTGCATAGAGACACTCAACAAGGCAGCATAATAGGAAAGCCCTTCATGTACATTTTTTTAAATTATAGTGAAACCTTGCTCACATTTTTTTAAGCTGCAGTTGAACGAGTTTTCCCAGAATTCTGTAAGCAGAGAAGAGGCGACTACTTGGGTGGGAGAAAGATCAAGTAGGAAATCTCTCAATCCTGGGATGACAGATTGCTGAATGCCAACTCCAATAGCTCCTGCACAGAAACTGAAGCTCATTAGGTTCGGGTCAGTTACCCAGGACTCACTTCCTATCCACTGACGAGGAGGTGAAGGCGCCTGAGCCAGTTCCTCCAACAGAACTCTCATTTCTCCATTTGACAAAAAAGCTACAACAACCACTGCTGTAGACCTGTTGAGACATTAAAAATTATTGCTCACATTTATTTTATATTTTTCCCACTGTAAAGTAAAAAATGTAAAATGAAAAAATAAAGATAAATCTCTTCACAAAAAATAATATGTATGTAAATATGTATGAAAACAAACAAAAAGCAGAACGTATAAAAACTTTTTTTTAAATCAAAAATACTCAATTATTTTCTTTTTTAACCTATCACTGACTTAGTTTTTGTACAGTTGACCCACATCTTCACAAGATACACAAAACAATGTAAATTAGTAAATTAGACACCTGCGAATAACATCAGCTACTCTCTTTATCTTGCTACTTGGGTCGGTCCGATAAAAAGATTCAGAGTACTCCACACAGATTCCTTCTTTCTGTGCTGCATCAAGAAAAGATGCCATTCCATTATTTCCATAATCTGAGTCTGAGCGGACAGCACCTATCCAAGTCCAGCCAAAGTGTTTCACCAGTTTGGCCAGAGCATCAGCCTGAAAATGATCACTGGGAATTGTTCTGAAAAAAGTCGGGTACTGCTGCTTGTCAGACAGACAGGCACAAGTAGCAAAGTGGCTCACCTAATTAAAACAAAAATACAACTTATATCATTTTCACTAAACCAAAACGGTAAAATCAGCAGGTACTTGTAGTTTATTTCTAGGCAATAAATGCAGACTGTTCTTACCAATGGGATACTGAAGGGTCCAAAGATGCGGGACATGCTGATGGAAGGAGTTGATCCAGACTCACCAACAACAGCCATCACCACTCCAGACTGGGAACAATTGCTGCCTTTATAAAATTCAGGGTCTTGTCCGTTTGATAGTTGAAAGGCCACATGCACAGACACAGGCACTGAAGCACATGAGTCATAGATCTGATATCCAAGTTTGATGCCTGGAAGCAGCTTTGTGCTGTTGTTTATCTCTTCAATTGCAAAGATCATTGCACGAGCAAAACGCAGGTCCCGAGCGTCAATGCTGTGTAAAATTGATCGAGTGATTGCAGACAATAACACAAAAATGTAAAATATAAAAATATTATCAAACTACTGAAAATGATATTTGAGAAATAAATCACATAACACTGAAGTTTTAAAAATGATGAATTGATAAATTGAAAATTGATTAGTCAAACAATCAATGCATGATTGTTTTTTTTTTACTGTGGATTTACAAAATACAACGAATAAAATTAGCAATTCAAATCAAGCTGTTCAGTTTGAGTTATTTATATTTTAAACATGTAGAAAAAATTACTGTATCACAAAGAAAATGTTTATACAAATCTGGATGTTTCATTGTTATTTTATTTATTTATTTTTGGTCCCTCAGTATCAGCTTGCTACAATATTTGCAGAAAAAAAAAACATAATTTCCATTCATAAACATCAAAAACACTTTCTTCTTTCTCCACCTCTCCTTCTCACTCACCTGCCACTGCATCTTGAAGGTTCTGGCTTGGTGGTGTAGTTATAAATCACTGCATGCAGTTTGTAATGAATAGAAAATATACCACCAATAACAAAGTCACCATCCACTGAGAAGGCAGGTAAACAACGTGTACTCTGCATTTTACATTTCATCAATGACGTCTCAGTACTGACACCCACATCAGTTGGAGCCTCTTTGGTCTTAACTGTTGGCTGAAGTCCATTCAAAGACCCAGAAAGGACAAGAACTGTGATCACTTCTATTAGGTTCACAGCTAATCTCAGGCCAGTAGGAACAAATCGGATTGCCATTCCTCCGGTGCCAGTATTTGAGTGTAGATTTGTTTATGTATGTGCAGCCCTGTGCCACAGTTTTTAGAGCTGGTGCCTCTCAGCAAGAAGGTTGCCGGATCAAACCCCAGCTGGGGACCTTTCTGGGTGGAGTCTGCACTTTCTCTCGAAGCATGCATGTTTTTTTTTTTTTTTTTTCTCTGAGTACTCCAGTTTCCTCCCAAAGACTAACAAGATGCATGTTGGACTAATTGGTTACTCTAAATTGTCCCTAGGTGTGAATGAGAGTGAATGACCGTTTGTGTCTATGTGGCCCTGTGATGGACTTATGTGTCCAGGATGTCACACGCCTCTCACACTGTGAAAGCTGGAAATGGGCAGAAGTGGCCTTTGTGATGTAGAAAGGAAAAGTGAATAAGGATAATGTATGTATGTATGTATGTATGGATGTATGGATGTATGGATGTATGAATGTATGTATGTATGGATGTATGGATGTATGAATGTATGAATGTATGGATGTATGGATGTATGGATGTATGGATGTATGGATGGATTATCCTCCACTATACAACAGCTGATAATTAATCTGCAACACATTCATCATTTTCACCTTATGAAACTGTCTGTACTAAAATAATCTAAAATGGATTTTTTAAGGATCATATACTGTATTATTCCCATTAGACTACTTGAAAAAGTAACAAAGGGGGAAAAGAACAACGATCAAATAAAAACGCAGACAAGAAAAAAATAACACTAGTAAACTTTATTAATTGGTTCTGTAACTCCTAAATACATCCATCCATCCATCCATTTTCTTTACCCGTTTATTCCATTTTGGGTCACGGGGGTCGCTGGTGCCCATGTCCAGCAGTCACTGTGCGAGGGGCGGGGTACACCCTGGACAGGTCGCAAGTCCATCACAGGGCCACATAGAGACAAACGAGACAAACAACCATTCACTCTCTCACTCACACCTAGGGACAATTTAGAGTTCTCCTAAATACATGTTGTAGAAAAAAAATGTAAATAAACAAATTATAATAGAACAAATTTCAACTGATTTGTTTTATTTTACCATATCAACATTCTGATGTCTGATATGTAAAATCACTGTTAGTTTTTGTTCATTAAATATTTCTTGGAGTTCTTTTCTGACTGAAACAATATGATGAAACACTTTGGAGCAAATATACACAGTATCAGTCCAAAACTGGAGGCCAGAATAGCAAATATCTCCACAGCCACAGTAAACTTTCCAGGAGAGCTGATATATGCTGGGATGAAGGTGATCCACACTGCACAGAAGATCAGCATGCTGAAGGTTATCATCCTGGCTTCATTAAAATTATCAGGTAGTTTTCGAGCTAGAACAGCTAACACAAAGCAAAAAACAGCCAGCAGTCCAATGTACCCGAGCACAGCCCAGAAGCCAACAGCAGAGCCTAATGCACATTCCAGGATGATCTTCTCCTTGTATGTTGTCAGGTTTTTCATTGGAAAAGGAGGACTGAGAACCAGCCAAAGTGTACAAATTAAAACTTGAATAAATGTAAAAAACACAACAGTCATCCTTTGCTGTGGAGGCCCAAACCATTTCATGACATTACTACCTGGAAGTGTAGCTTTGAAGGCCATTAAAACCACTACAGTTTTACCAAGAACACAGGAGATACAGAGAACAAAGGTGATCCCAAACGCTGTGTGTCGCAGCATGCAGGACCACTCAGAGGGAGCTCCAATGAAAGTTAATGAACATAAAAAACACAGAGTCAGAGAGAAGAGCAGCAGGAAACTCAGCTCAGAGTTGTTGGCTCTGACAATTGGAGTTGTTCTGTGTCGAAAGAAAATAGCTGCTGTCATGATGGCCAGACAGGCTCCACAAAGAGAGAACGCAGCCAGGATGATTGACAGGACTTCATCAAATGAAAGAAACTCTACAGGTTTTTGGAAGCAGGCATCTCTTTTTTCATTGGTCCAGAATTCACCAGAACAGGGAATGCAATCAGGAGAATCTACAAGTAAATTAAAAATAACTCTTTTGATGTGGTTATTTCTTATTTCAGACATGATTTGTAAAAAAGTATTGTACCTGTTGTATTACTGATCTCTCCTTCAGGACATGGTATACAATCATAGCAGCAGATGGGTTTTCCTTTCTGCAACACTTTATGAGTTCCTGGAGGACAACTCTCTGAACACACTGATACTGGAACCTGTTACAGAGAAACAGTCAAAAATTATTTTTTTTAATTTATTTATTTTTGCAAGGTAGCAGGTTTTTAGTTCAAAATCTTTTCTTTTGTGAATCTGTTATCACTACACCATTTACTTTTGTTCCACCCTCCATCCAGGTTATGTTCTTGTTGATATGAAACTCTTGGCCTTTTATCTGAGAAGCATCATAGTAACCAACTGTTACTACTTTAAAACCTCCACTTTCACTTTTTTGCCAGTTGACCAGCTCATAAAAAGGCACAGGATCCCCATTAACATCAAAGGACACAGAATAACCATTTTGCGAAAAGTTTACATTTTTCAGTTCTGATAAAACCTAAACAATAAAAACATCAAAAATAAACTATTAACAGTTCAAAATTAATCAAAGTAATTCATTGCCAGGAAAAAAAAAAGAATACTTTTATAGTGAAACTGACCTTTTTGGACTCCAGTCTAATATTGTTATAACACTGGGTGGTGAGATTTGTTCTCTGACACATTGCATTGTGAATGGCATGAGCTATTGCATAAACAGCCTTGTACACCATGTTAGTGACTCTTAATTGAGATGTGTCAGTGTATGGGTTTTGGAGCATTTTTATATTTTCATTTCCATCACACACACTCTTGTATTGACCAGAATCTGTAGATATGAGCCCCAAAAATGTTTTTTTCAGAAAGCATTCACAAAAACATGTTATTCTTTTACATTTTAACATTTAAAGCTAAAGCAAGTAATTTCAATAAACTTGGCTTCCCATTTATGAACAAAGCTAATCCAGGGGATGAAGATTGTTTATTATATACTGTAAATGCAGCAAATATTTTTATTGACTTTAAGTTTGATAGAAATGCCTTATCATTTCTACTTGCATGGTTACTACAGGAAAAAAAAAAGGCCCTCACTTTTTGTCAAGCTGCAGTTGAATGCATCCTCCCAGAACTCCGTGAGTATGGAGGAAGCAGCTACTTCAGTGGGAGAGAGATCCAGCAGAAAGTCTCTCAGCCCTGGGATGACGGATTGCTGAATAGTAACTCCGATGGCCCCCGCACAGAAACTGAAGCTCATCAAGTATGGGTCAGTGATCCAGTCCTCACTTCCTATCCACTGACGAGGTGGTGGAGGCTCACGAGCCAGCTCCTCTAAGAGGACTCTTATATCCCCAGTGGCTGTAAAAGCCACAACAATGATCGCTGTTGACCTAGAAAAGCATTAAAATTAGATGATTTGCCAGATTATGGATAGAAGATTTATTTAACCTACAAATAAGACACATTTGTCAATTTATGATGAATGCTGGGCATTTGTGTTCAAGTCAATCTAGATTTACCTCAAACCATCAAAAGAAGAAAAACAAACCATAAAAAATTACATATCTAAAATGGCTCATTAAATAAATGAAAAGAAAATGTGCTTTCATGAATTGTAATCAAACATTTTTAGTATTTGTTTAGTTTTCAAAAATACAAAGAATCAATCACAATCCGTGATTAAGAAACCTGCGGATAGCATCAGCAACTCTCTTTATCTTGTATCGTGAGTCGGTCCGATAGAAGGATTCAGAGTACTCCACACAGATCCCCTCTCTCTGTGCTGCATCAAGAAATGACGCCATACCGTAATTTCCATAATCTGAGTCAGAGTGAACTGCACCTATCCAAGTCCAGCCAAAAGTTTTCACCAGCTTGGCCAGAGCATCAGCTTGGAACTGATCACTGGGAGTGGTTCTGAAAAAAGTAGGGTACTGCTTCTTATCTGACAGGCAGGCACAAGTGGCAGAGTGGCTCACCTAAAGCATGGAAATTACATTTATACATCTTCAATGGAAATGAACAAACAAATAAAACAAACAACTTTCGCTTTTAGAGAACTTCAACAAAACTAGTCAGATAATTTACTTGAGGAATATGAAAAGACCCAAAGATGCGTGACATGCTGATAGATGGAGTTGATCCAGACTCTCCAACAATAGCCTTCACAACACCAAATTGTGAACAGTTGTTGTCTTTGTAAAACACAGGAGTGTGGCCATTTGACAGCTGAAATGCCACTTGAATGGCCACAGGCACTGCAGCACATGAGTCATAAATCTGATATCCAAGTTTGATTCCCGGCAGGAGTTTTGAATTGTTGTTTATTTCCTCAATAGCAAAAATCATTGCGCTTGAGAAACGCAGTTCTCGGCCAATAATGCTGCACAAATTCAGTCAAGAAAATATCGACATTCAGGCAGAATTGTGGGAAAAAAGGAAAGCACTTTTTTTTAACAAATAAAACAAGCATGCAAAACTACAGGACAACATCTAAAACAAACAACTATAATATAAAATTAAAATGAGCTTAAATAACTATTACAAAATTAAGAAATAACTTCAAAATAAAAATGTTTTAATATGCATACATACATAAATACATTTATTTTGTACTATGCTTACTTAAATGCAAATTCAAAACCCCAATTATGGCTAATTTTACAGCAAATCATATAAATTTTACACATCTTACAACCTTTTCCATTTTCTCTTTCTCTTACAAACCTTCCTGTGCATCTTGCAGGGTCAGGCTTGGTGGTGTAGTTATTAATCACTGTAAGCGGTTTGTAGTGAATGGAAAAAACACCTCCAATAACAAAGTCACCATCCATTGAGAATGCAGGTACACGAGGTGTACCCTGAAGGGTGCATTTTATAGACAAAGCCTCAGTACTGACACCAGCACCAGTCAGATCCTCTATAAGCTCATTTTTTTCTTTCAAACCATCTAAAGATCCACCCAGGACAACAATTGATATCAGTTCCAAGAATCTCAGGCCAGTAAAGACAAAGCTGATCTCCATTTCTCAACTTTGTTTTTGGATGCAAGTGTGCTTTGACTGGTTTATATATCTCCTCTAATATGCATCAGCATGTCAATCAACAGAGGCAAGATGCTTTCACCCAGTGAATTGGTATTGATAAAGTATTTATTGAATTTATGTGGTCATCATTTCCAAACTGTTTCTCCATCTTGTTTTCATGTTTTCAAACTTCATTTTTAACATTAGAGCATAGCTTCTCTTTTTTTTAACTTTTGATTTCTGCATTGTTTTAATGTTTTATAATACCAGAGCAGAACATTCAGAGCCCTCTAGGCTTCAGAGAAGGCTCAAGACTTCAGCACTTATAACATACCATATTACATTAGAAATTCTGTTATGACTAGTTTTTTTTTTCTTTTTTCTAATTTTTTGGCCAGCTTTTTTTTTTTTTTTTTTTTTCATTATGGGCAACTGTTTGCAATATAGGCAACAATATGGACTGTTTCTGGAATTGTTAATCAGATAAGATCATCTTGGCTGTACATGTCTACAAACTCTGGGGAAATTAAAATGTTCTGTGACACTGCAGTGGATCATCAGCTGACCTGGATGAGCAGCACCCCAACCATCCATCCATCTATCCTTTCTCTTTACTTGCTTCTTCCTTTTCGGATCGTGGGATTCACTTTTGCCAATATCCAGATACCACTGTGCGAGAGGCAGGGGACACCATGGACAGGTTGCAAGTCCATCACAGGGACACAGAGAGACAAAGGAGACAAACAACCATTCACATTCTCACTAGAGCTGGCATTTCCAACCCGAACCCTGAGCCCGACACGACCCGGATTAGGGCCGGGCCATAATAATCTGCTTAATGTGCAGGCTGTGCCGGTGTTGGGCTTTTGATTGTGTCAGCGGACGCACGCAGCTGACGATCAAATATATGGCAACATGGCTTGTCATACAATCACCAGCCTCACGTGGCCATTTGATCGCACGCTGACCGGCCTTGATAATAGTAAACAAAAAGTCAAGTTAAGCTTCAGATGGAACTATACTGCCAGGTAGCGATCCATCAAAGCTCAAATGGACGTTCATTCAGCCGCTGCACTCAGTGGATGCGCACGGCAGACGACCCAAACAAGTGAGAGCCCAAAATATCCGACGTGTCAGAGCAGGGTCCATGTCTGAATAATGAAGAATGCAGACAGAAGCAGGAATTTAATGTGCTTAGTTGGCCATGAAAGGACAAACACCCCCTCAGCTCCAATCTTCTGCCTCCTTACTTTTGCATGTCCGTCGACTGTTAACTATATAAGCAGTAAAAGCTTCATTAAAAATGTTGGGGGGGGGGGGGGGTCGGGTTCTGACCTGTACTTACTGTTAATTTGTCGGGTCGGGTGGAGATCGGAAATTATGGCTACGGGCTGGGGCCATGTCGGGTCAGATTTTTTTGGGCCTGAATGCAACTCTTACTCTCACTCACACCCAGAGACTATTTAGAGTTACCAATCAGCCTAACATTCATGTTTTTGGTCTGCGGGAGGAAATCAGAGTACCCCTAGAAAACCCACTCATACACAGAGAACATACAAACTCCACCTATGGTGGTCCCAGGCCGGGATTCGAGCTGGTGACCTACTCGTTGACAGGCGGCAGCTTTACCAAATGTGGCACCATGCTGCCCACCACCAGGTTTCCTTATTATCTACTCTCTGTCCAGATGACACACCAATACCTACCTACTGGTCTCTCTAATTACTGTTGCTGTAGTAGCCCAGCCATCTGTAAGCTCGTTCTTACCACCAGAGCTTTTAACAGCTCCTCTCTGAATTTCTCACTACATTCTTCCTTTTTCAGCTTCCACCATTTGGTCTTCCTCTTTGATTTTACTTTTTATCTCTTCTTCACAACAACAATCATTCTACATGCAACCATCTGATGTTGTCTGGCCACCCCCCCCCACCCCCCTGACACAACTTTACAGTCCTAAATCTCTCTCAGGTTTCCTCTTCTACACATAATGTATGTAGTCGACCTGCGTACGCCTTCCTCCACTCCTATACTGTAGGTCACTTTATGTTCCTCCCTCTTGGAAATATGTGTTGACTACAGGCATTTCCATTCTCTTGGCAAAATCCACCATCATCTGTCCTTAATGGTTTCTTTCCTTGACACCAAACCTACCCATCACTTCCTCATCCCCTCTGTTTCCTTCATCAACACGTCCATTCAGGAGTACTTCTATAACCACACTTTCCTCCCTGGGAATGCTCTACATCACTTCATCCAGATCTTTCCAAAATATATATTTCTCCTTCACATCATATCCAACTTGTGGAGCATAACCAGTGGTAACATTTAGCATCAGACCATCTATTTCTACCTTCAGACACATCACCATATCTGACACTTTTCACCACTACTACATTCCTTGCCAACTCCTCCTTCAGGACCACCCATACTCAAATTGTTTTTTCAATCTATGCCATTGTAAAACAGTTTGAACTCTGTTCCAATGCTGCAAGCCTTGCTGCCCTTCCACTTGGTCTCTTGGACAAATAAAACACATTTCGTCCTTCTCTGCATCATGTCAGCCAGCTCTCTACTTTTGTCTGTGATTATCCCCACATTTAGAGTTGCAACCCTCAGTCCTACATTCTTGACTTTCATCTTCTCCCTCTGGCTCCTGACACATTTTCTTCTTCATGGTCTTCTACTAACAGTACCACAATTTTTGCCAGCACCCTACTTGTCAACAGCACCAGTGGCAGTCGTTAACCCGGGCCTCGACCGATCCAGTATGGGTTTGCTTTGATGAACTCGCATTACAGTTTTGGCAAAAGTGTTTTATGTCAGATGCCCTTCCTGAAAAAAACTCACCATTTATCAGGGTTTGGGACTAGTACAAGAGATACACTTGGTTTGGCATCCTATTGGCTAGTTTAAATATGAAAAGAACATGTTGGAGAAAATGTCCTGTTGTATGACAAGTATACCTGCTCCCAGCCTCTTGATTGAACATTTATTTTCTAAATTTAGGCTCAAAAAGGGATTATTACCTTTAGAAAATGTCTAGTGTTTGACAAAAATACAGAAATATTATGCTGCATTTAATCCCTGCATTTTATAT